CCCCAAAACCCCAAAACCCCAAAACCCCAAAACCCCAAAACCCCAAAACCCCTGAAGATTTGAGTATATAGAATTTATTTAAGGGAGATATATTTTTATATGGAGATTGTGAAGAATCAGCAAAATAGTGCCATTCTTATCCTTGAAGTTCAGTAGATGATATATATAAGCCCGATTGATGGAATTTGTTGCTAGGCAATCATTACCTTCAGTTAGAACAGTTGAGTCTTTTCTAAAAGCCCTTTCTGCTAAAGTCAAGAATCTTCTGTTACTTAACACCACTAGGTAGACTCTCATTTGTAAACTCTTCTTTAGTTACTTCACTACTCGACTCTTCGGATATTAGGGGTCTGAATATCCAAACAAAGATTCCTTTCACTAATATCAATGGAATATCTAGCTTCAAAGAGATAAATTCCATTTAGAAGGAGATTCTCCTGCACGTTTACCGGATTACCAGTGATCTTAAGCACTCTAAGTTTGGTGTCCTCTGGGAATTTTCATAAAATTGGTTGAATATAGTATTTCTGGTCTTGCTTTTAACGAGTGTACATTAAAGAAGTACCTAGAGATGCTAGTATTAAATTCTTCAATCTTTTCATGAATAATCGGAGATATCACCCTGTACTACCCCTCAACACCGATGGTCAGCACCATATGGGATTTTCTAAAAGATTACTGAAAATTTGTTTGTTAATTGGGAGATTAGATACAAGATCTAAAGAGATGTACTCCTTGCTTGCCTTCACAGATTGTCTCTATTCTTCTTACTAGTCTTGTCAGTGTTGAAATGAGTAGGAGTCATGAAAAGATAAGGCTGGAATGCATTCACAGCTTTTATGTAATCCTCATCTGAATCCTACGTTTAGATGAGATAAGTTTACCTTGTAGTATAATTTTTGGATAAACTCCATTCTCATATTTTTGGTGTTCATTCGCCTTCTCTTCTTCAGCAATGACCATTGTGAGTAGGAAATGGTGTATTGAGAGTGGTTCATATATTTCATAAGAGGATTTACTTCTTCTGTTTCTTTGGATACCTCACATTCATTCAAGAATTTTGAATTACTCTATAACATCCTGTAGATGATAAATATCAGCCAGAACTAATTGCATTGGCATATGAGAGATGTCAGGGAAATTTATAAAAATTATTCCTGGCAAAGCTCCAGAATTTGTAGTGAAAATGTATTCAGGTGTTGAAATTTCATCCTTCGGCATTTTCAACCTTGCACAACTATAGGATTTGATGGAGTAATATCTTACCTTTGAGTAGAAGAATCTGCTTCCTTTGCTACTTCAGAGGAATCTTTCCTTGAAGGAATTAAAATCTTGAAAATATAGTGATAAATTAAAATTCATTATCAAGATGATAAGAGGGGTTTTGGGGTTTTGGGGTTTTGGGGTTTTGGGG